TCAAAATGTTGTACAAACCAAATAATGTCATTTAAAGAAGTAAATGTTGGATTCATGTAAACAGAATTTGAAACAGATAGTAGTGTTTTATTAATTAAAATAAAATTGACAACATCTTCTTTTGTTGAAAGGTGGAGAAATACATTCAAAAGATAAAATGGTTCGAGTCTTTTTGACATTCTTTTGTGATTACAAATAATTTATTCATTTAAATAGATTTTTTAAATGACTTTTATATAATTAATGATTATTAAACCTCTTTGTTCATTTTTAAACAACCGTTTTAATTGTTATAGATTGTCTGGTTTGTAAACCACTTTTTTATTTAAACATATTTAATAATAATTATATAATATTTAATATAGTACTGGATACCATAAATATAAAATTTACTCTATGTGACTTATTATGTTTTAAGTAGTTAGATTTATTATAATTTTATTATAATTGAATAATTTTAAACTTCTAGAATAAAAATTGGCTATTTTTGAAGATTTTTAATGATGTTTGTATTTTTAAACAGTCTACTTTTATCCATTTCTTATTTTTATATAATTCCAAGAACATAGTTGAAACATATGACTAAACAAGACCCATCTATTGGATACATGTATCTATTTTTTCTATCCACTGGACAAACCAGTTTCTATGGATGGCAAAAATAAAAATTATATAAATAGATTATTTGTTTTTTTTTTGTAAACAAAATTTTATTTTGCCGAATTATTTTTTTCAATGTTTATAAAATCAAAAAAATATTCAGATGTATTACAAACATTAAAACAATCGTAATTATAAATCAAAAATTATCAAAGTACATCGTAGTTTGATAAACATTGTACGTATTTAAAAAGGTAATTATATTAAATCTATACATAATTACAAAAATTATAATAAAATATCAAATTTATCAAATATCAAAAGCGTGATTTCCACAACGTTGTATTTGTATCAAAAACCCAATTAATAAACTTTCAAACAAAAAACAACTAAATTAGTTGTTTGTTTTTGTTGTATATCAAGTAGTCTATGATATCAATATTCACAAACATTCAAATATTTCAGTGTTTTCCTTGACATTCTGATGTGTAAAAATATATTCAACGTCAATACAAATGTCAACGACAATACACATTTATTATTAACATTAATAATAAAGAGCACCAGAAAACTGTCGTACATCAGAAAATAGTCGTACACATTGTTTCAAGGTTTTTTCTGTATAAAGTCGGGTTTTTATTTTTTTAAAACCCAATTTTTTTCCTGATTGTTTAGTCAAATTTTATATGTGAAAAAATAAACCCATTTTTTGGTTTGTTTGATACTAAAAACACGAGTGTACGACAATTTTCTTGCTGTAAGACTATTTTCTGTTGGTCTTTACTGTAATTATACTCATATTTAGAAATATACTTAACAACGATTAACATAAATAACATATAAATGACCAATAAAGTTACAATTAAATTCTTTTAAACAATCTCAATTTATTACTAAAACATACACAATAATAATTATATAAACAATACATGGTTAATTTATATAAATTAATATCTGAATCATTTATAATGTTGATATTTTAAAAAGTCAAAACAACACAAAATGTAGATAAACAACCATATATAACAACCCTATCATTTAATTTAAAGAATAAAATTATGATACATTTATACTTGAAGTGTGTATAAATAAACTAAGAATATTTTAATTGATGATTCATGATTAAATAATATAACACTTATTAAAAAACAATTTATTAGTTGTTATCATGTATTTACATATACCAATTAAATAAAAAAAACTTATTACAGTATTGTATTAAACAGAGAGATCATCATGTATAACTTAATTATTATAAATTACAATAAAGTATATTACATATTTAACATACACAAAAAAGTTGATAATACGTTTTTACAACATATTGTTTTTATAGTTATAACTAAAATAATATAATAAAAAATATAATGCAAATTATCATTTTGTATTGAAAAAGTTTTCATATTGTATATATAAGCTTTAGTAATAAACTGTACCAATCATTTTATTATTTAATAATATATTATATATAAAATCAAAAAAGCGGTCAATAAGAAGTAAGCATTTTTAACCTACTTAACTACTATTACTTTGCGGTGTTTTCTCTTTTTATTATTTAATATACAGTTATAATTTATACGAAATGTATTATTTTTTGATTTGAGCACAACCTAAATTAAAAGTTTATTTTCTATTTAATTATTTTAAAATATACAGTTTATATATGCTTTATTAAAAACATTAATTAACATTTAACAAACTGTATTTTCAATTATAAATAAAATATATACAATAATGTCAATACAAATGTAATTGTTGAATTCGATTTCAACTTGTAAAGTAGTTGTCTATTAATTAAATGTGTTGATTTCCCTTAGACTATTGATTGTAATATATTAAGTGCACGTATATGTGAGCCACAAGTCGGAACCTAAAAATATTTTAAATTGTGTTATTCTCTTAATAATCATGTTATATTTTGAATTTTTAATTTAATGTTTCATGTTTGCATATTTAACAATTACCATTTTTTAATTTTAGGCAGTTTTTCAAATGAAAGTGTTACAAATAACAGTAAAACCCAATACACCAACTGTTGTTATTAAATTAATAATAATATTAAATAAATGCCTCCATCTCAATTGATTGTGATATTATAGAAATACATATGTGTACTGTTGTGTTTTGTATTTTGAAAAACGATTTAACAAAAGTTTAGAAAAAATAATTGTATTTGATGTCTCACTTAATTGTAATTCTCAACAAAATATGTTGAATGATAATTGAAAACCTCCAAATAATTACACAATAAAATTGATAACAATTGGTTATATCATTTTTTTGTTTCAACAATATGTCAAATAATTTACACAATAATTACAATAAATAATGGAGAATAACAATGTCATTAACAGTCATTATTTAACTGAAAATTACATTTATCAAATATACATATATTAACAATATTGTATATCTATTATTAATTGACTTAAATATTTAATCATGTTGATAACTTTGTTATATAAATAATTATAACCGCAGTTTTTTAAGGGTTAATAATGGTAAAATTTAAGTTATTTGTGTGACATTTTTTAAAACAGAAAAAACAATTCATTGTGATTGATTTTATTATGTGACTCAATAATGTGGTTGTATTTTTTTCTTCCGAAACTTTTTGTTCATAATTACATATAATCAAAATAATGTAAATTTGCTATTTAACTAACTTTTTATTATTTTTATAATACAAAAAACAAGATTAATCACGTGTATTTTATAAACACAACAACATTAATAAAAGAATTAAGTGGAGCCACTTATTGAATATTAATTTTTAATAAATTTAATTTAACTGATTAAAAGAGTTTCACTGTCAATAACTAAACTCTCATTTCGAAAAGTTCAATTATAATATAAGGCAACTTATGAATTTAAACACAATACCTTTAAAAAATGATTAAACATTAAACCAAGTTTAAGAGTATATATTTGTTTACAACAATTTATATTACCAACTTATTGATTCAAAACATTTTAACATAAGATATATAAAAATAAATTTGCTCGGTGTCAAAGGGTTAAAAAACTTCAATAAAAATCCTTATGAACAAAATAATTGTTTAATAATACAAACAATCAAAATTAATCATTTTTTCTACAATTTTTAATAACACACAAAATCAAATAGTAACAACACCAATACAGTTTAAATAACAAAAAGGTGTAGTAAACGTGATACTTGATTTTGAACAAAAAAATCAATAGTATGCTTTAATTTTAATCGTTTGAATAACATACAAGTGTAAACTCTTGAATAAAAAATAATTAAAACAAAAAAAAATTAAACTCACAAAAAAAATAAACCACGTTATTGTTTCTACATTGTAACTTATACTTGTTTAAATTTGTACTTTAAACAACAATTATAACTATATTTAAAAATAATAATTATTTAAAACCATTGTATTGTAACAAGTTTATATTGTGAAAATTTTACAACTAAAAACATGGTTAATTAAAATAATCTATAAAAATAATACTACATTTTTCAAAATAAACCGAATTTGAGTAATTCAACATTTCCTTTATGTGTACTTTATATTTTGATAAATATTTTTTATATATTAGCAAATCAAATTTTTATGGTGTTTTCAAAAAGACAAAAAAATAATTTAATATTTAGAAATAAATGTGTTCTATTTCCGCTATCCACCGATTTTTTGCCATCCAGTCATACGTCCTAAGACATTTTTATCTAAAAACAATATATTACAGTTGTATTAATTAGGACCACCACAAAACGGGATAAAATTATAAATATTGAATAATAAGCGGATTTGAAACAATAACATCAAAAAAAGTACAAATATATGTATATTTTTTATTATAAGGTTACAAAAAGGTTGTTTTTTGGGATGAAACAATATAAGTGTTGTTTAAAGTATGAATAAAATATTACTTATACAAGAGCTAAAATCGAAAGTTTAATATGGTAAAATTGTTCTTAATAAATATTTTTTTGTTCAACCATGTTTAACTTTAACACAACGATTCAATTAACCAGTTTATTCAAGTTTTCAAAGAAACCAATGATTCTTCTCTTAAAATAATTTATTTGATGAATCTCTTTTCATTCAGCAAAATTTGGACATCGAAATAAAGTAAAAAATATATAAATTATTTGAATAAAAAACATTCTGCAAATAATTGATGATGATTAAACAAATTCAACAACGGAAAATAAAACAACATTAAGAATAAACATTACTTTGACTCAAATGGGTATTAACAATGGAAACAGTTCAAACATAAGATTTCACAAAAATTATAATTGTAAGTTTTTTAATTCTATTTAAAAAAACACAACAATGAACGATTTTTATAATAATAGTTAATTATAATTATAATAAAAATGTAATAAAATAAACAATTTAAACAAATTTATTCTTTTAAAAAGTGACTTAATTATTCAATGCGTCATTAAAACTGTTGATATAATACTTAATGAATTCTTCGTGACTGATTCTTTTGTTTTTATTGACGTCGAGTTTATTAAAAATGCACTCGAGTGTTTCGTCGTCTTCTCCTTTTTTAAGCACTTTTTTCAATTCGTTTTTGTCGATCGTCCCATTGTGATTGTTATCAATCAAATAGAAAATGTAACTAGTCAGTCCCCGCAATTTATCAGTCCCAAGGGAAGATGGAAGGATGTCGGCTATGTTCGTGAACTCACGTTTACTTATCATCCCATCAGCTTTATTAAATAATCCCTTCCCATCCGCATAATTGAAGTAATACATAAAGAGCTCTTCAACTATTGCTTGTGCTTTAGAATTCAGTGGACCAAATTTGTAAAATTCAACCATCCCAAGACGAAACTCTTGCTCGGATATAGTCCCATCGCCATTCTTGTCGAGAAAGTCGAATAAAGTCGCTTGATCTACCATTCAAATGTCGTGTAATTACAGTTGATATTTTTTATAGATTGTAAACTCTAATTATGCTAAAAATACAACAAAAACAAGTATTGTTTCTACAATTAAAGTTTTAACTATATATTATAATAAAAATGTTATTTAATATAGTTATTTAATTTTTATTTGTTATAATCGTTAAAAAGTGTTTTATTAGTATTTTTCAATCTTTTTTAATTTTTTCATCAATTTTTTATAATGGGTGTTTACAATCATATGGTGACAGAATTATAATACATAATGGTTTGTAATCAAAATGTATTAACATATTGTTTTATTTTTTGAATTGTTGGTGTTTGTAATTAATAAATAAAAAAAGTAATGACTTGTCAATATCAAAAACTTTGTTTTTTGATTAAAAATGAAAATAAAACATGTGAAGTTCTACTTATTAATAATGTCAATTACGAATAATAACATCATTTTTATTTTTTGTTGATAAATAATAATTTAAAAGTTTAAAGGAAATGGTTTTACTTAATAAGGTGAAGTAACTATTGAATTAACACTTGAAATTGTTTCTATTTCATATACATTTAAAAGAATGTTATTTACAATTTAAATGTATTCAAAAAAACAAGAAAATAAGTCGTGTTAATATTTTAAATACATTAAAAATATGTACATTATATTGTTGTTAAGTTATTGATATTATAATAAATACATTATACAAAGTATATTAAAAATTTTACGTGTTTGTTATTTTGTTTATGTTTGTTTTTTTAATATATAATCGATACAAAACCGATTAAAATAAAAAAAAGAATATTGTTATTATCATTATATGTTTATACCAATTTTAATAATACATTCTTATCTTTCAATTTTAATTTTAAAATATATCATTATCAGATATCATAAATATTTGATACAAGTCTTTAAAACATTTATAATAATTAAAAAACTAGTGATACTTTTGAAGCAGTTTTTTATATCAATTTAAAAATTCGAATTTGTTTCAATATGTTTATTTTTTGAAATTAATTGTATCAATCAATTATATATTCATATAAAAAACATTTTTATATTTTGCATTGTACAGAATTATAAAGATAATTAATACACAATCATCACTTTTAAGATAAAATGATATTGATAATATTTTAAAAGTCCAATGAATATGTCATTATCAAGTTTCCAAATTTTTTATTATGTTCATAAATTTTAAAAATGTTTTTTAACCAAATATATACCAATAAATCAACTGTTAAATTATAATAATGAGTAAACTGGACAAATACAATGGTATGATTGTTTCAAGTTATTTTAAAACGGTTTCTGATTTTATAAAGTTCTTATTTGTATGTAAAAAATTTGTAGATAACATGGAGAAGTTTCATTACAACCCAGTTCCTTTAACTTTACGTTCTATCTCTTTTTTCCCTAAAATAGAGACTCTTTGCTTATACACTCCTTCAGATGAAAACTTTGGCGTCTTTTCTCGCCATCCGAATATTCTCCGTCTTTTGCTCCAGAAACCACGCGAATTTTTTAAAGTACGAGTTCTTTATGATTTTGACTATTTTGAGTCATTGAAATATCCAAGTGACAAGTTTGATTATAAAAAATTAACCTTTACATATACAGACAAAGACCGAATTTTCAAGGAAACAACAAAAAATGTTGTAATTCCAAAAACAGTCAAAAAACTGGGTACTGAAAGTTTTAGTAGTTTTTATAAATTAGAACGTGTGAACATTCCACCAAATGTAGTTTTTATTGGTGAAAGTTGTTTTAAGACATGTTATAATATAACAACATTAACACTTCCATCCAACTTGACTGAAATTGGCGCGGTTGCTTTTGCTACATTAGAGTCTTTAAAAAGCATAATAATTCCAAAGTACATCACTTCTTTAAAAGCTTATACTTTTGCTGATTGTCGTGAACTTGTGGATGTAGAACTTCCTGAACATCTTGAAATAATTGAGAAATGTTGTTTTAATAAATGTCAAAAGCTACAGAATGTGATAATACCAAATGGTGTTTCAGAGATTGGAAACAATGCCTTTGAAGGGTGTGCTATGAGTCAAATAAGTATTCCAACTTGTTTAAAAACTATAGAAAAATTTACCTTCTATGGGTGTAAAAATCTGGTGGAAGTAAAAGGTTTGGAATGTGTAATAACATTTAAAACATTTGCTTTTGGTGGACATACTAAACTCAATAAAGTTGAAATTGACAAAACCGCAATATTGGAAAATGATGCATTTGGAGAGCAAATTAATGTTGTTAGAATCGATTCACATCAGTTTAAATAACATGAACGTGTAATTATATTACAACGTAAGTAAATATATACATATAACAAACAAATAGTATTGATGTCTTTATCTATACTTATAATATCAAATTAATACAAATGATAAAATAGTTAATAACAATCAAATGAATATTATAATGTTAGAATATTTAAAAATAGTTGTGTATCAATAAAACTGTTCTACAATTTTTTCAATTTACTTATCTTCGACCTTTTCATACATAAATTTAAATATGTAAGAAATGGTTGTTGATTTGTAATTTTAGTAATATATTAAAATGTTATATTAAAATGTTATACAAAAAAGTGAACTTTTAAAATTTAAGCAAAAACTTGTAATGACTGACTTCGACATAGTTTCTGTATTTTTCTTCAAATCTTTTGTTCCATAGCCAATCCCGTAGTTGCTTTCTTCTCTTGTTTCTTCTCGACTTTCATTTCTGTTTGTGTATCACAATTTTCTGCTGTTTGTCGACTTTTTTCATCTTTTTTCCTGTCGATAGCATACCCCTCGATATTCTTCCCGTCACTATTTGAATGTTCCAAGACAGGTACAGGGACTTGTTCGACCTTTGGTTGGACACTTTGTCTTGCTCTAGTCTTTGGTTTTGGTGATTCTTTGATGTAGGTATTTGGCATCTCCTGGACTTCCTTTCTAAATCTTGGGTCCTTATTCATTGCCATCTTCATGTACTCCAATTTCCGTTTAGCGTTTTCAACCTTCTCTGCTTTAATATGTTTGACACGCTCCTCCTCCATCTGCTTTTGCTTCTCCACAAGTTCCTTCTCGACCGTTTCCTTCCCTTCCTTGACCATTCGAATGAGAACTTTAATCGCTTCCTTTGCTTCCTCCGTCATATTCTCCTCCGCACTTGCAACGGCTTTGTCATAAACTCCTTTATAATACTCGTCGATCTCCGCTATCCCTATCTCCTTATATTCAGACTTCTCTCCTTCAAGTTTCCACGTCAAATATTGTATTAAATCGGCACTCAATTCCTCCTCTTTGTTCTCATCTAAATATACCGGTGAAAAATATGGGACATTTTGAGGGTGTTTCGGCTGATACTTGCCGATATAAGGCTCGACTATGCGGACAACTAACTCAATAGTATTATTACTATTAAGTATAGTTTCGTTCTCTCCGCCAGCATTTTGAGTGGCGCCAAACTGTGCCAACGTCGGGCCTTGCCCTAAGACGCGGCAACTTGAATTCCCAAAATTGAAAGAAGACGACGCACTTGTGTTGACACTACTTAACACACTCGACGGTTCGTCCGTTTCAGTTGCTTCAGAACTCGAAGTTGTATTCTTTTGATTTACCAACACATTACTATTATGTACACATCTTGAACAAGAAGTCCCTCCTTGACTCTCACTGTCATCACTGCTCTCTTCTTCTTCCTCTTTTTTCGGCTTTGGAAGGACTTGGTCTGCTGAGGTAATCACTTCAAAGTCACTTTTCTCCCCTTTTTTGTCTGGCTCATTCATCTCATGCAGTTCATGCAACTTATTCCACTGCATCTCGTAGTCCTTCACATACAACTTCTTCATCGTGTCTTTCGTCGAAAAGCAGACGCCACGCACTTTCTTTTTATTAATCGTCATATTCCCAAGTAACGTCGACTCCGTTCTTTTCTTCACATTGTACTTCCTATTCACTTGCTGTGTAATGATTTTATGATAGTCCGCCGTGATGTTCGCCTCCACACAATTTTTGATATTCTGCCGCACTTTATATATAAAAAATTTCGCTTCATTCGCCTTTTTGTACTTCTCCACCTCTAAATTGGTCTTCTGCTCTACTCGCTTTTTAAATCCTTCGTCTCGGGTGAACGGCCCCAACATAAACTCGATCATCCGCTTCGTGTCTTCCTCTATAAATCCATTCACCACAAATAACGAATTCCCCACTATCCCATTTTCAAGGTCCTTCTTTTTCGTCAAGAACAACGTCGATGCCTTGAACAGCGGTTTATAAATGATCTCGCGAATCATCATAAAATACTCAGCTACTGAAGATTGGGGGTGTAACATCCCCCCCGCAATCACCGTTTTATTCGTGTGCTCCAAATTGGTGATCAAGTTGTCCTTATTGTCTTTAACAAAAGACATGTACGTGTAATGCAAATATGAACAGAAGTCATTCACAAAGGCTTCCGTCAGCACGTCCTCCGTTTTCAGTAGCCGAAGCCCAAGAAAGACTGAGAACTTTTCCGCCCGTTGCCGCGTCTTGTAATTATCGACGTTCGTCGGATCAAACAGAAATTTGTATTTCTCGTTCTCCGGGGACTTACAAGCAGCTGTAAAGGCGGTATACCCCTCCATCATATCTTTCATCAAAGTTTCATTCTTTTCTCGTATAGTGTTGTCGCGCGTCTCTTTAAAGCACTTTAATATGAAGAGCTCCGGGTACGTCGACGCAAGTAGAGTGATTGCATCGCGTTGCTGTAACATATACATTTCAAGTGTTTTCACTGTGGAGAGTAATTGGGGTTCATTTAATGTGAACGGTAAGACGGTAATCGGGTCGATTTGGTCTTGAGTCATTTTCAAACATTGTCCCATGACCATTTCAACGCGTTTAATGTTGTCGTATTTTAACTTAATCCGATCTAATAGAACACCATTCACACGCTCAGCTACCTCCTCGTAAGTACTAAAGAACTTATTCCAATACAAATTAAGCTCTTTAGTGTTCGTCAAGACGCGCTTCTGATATTTAAAGAGCTTCTCTATAAGCTTCTCTGTAGTATTAATAGTCTTGTGAGGGTATTCCCTCTCTAATTCCTTTAATAAGAACATCTCAAAGATCGCAGAGAAGTTCTTATAAATCGTCGCGTCGGGCGTCTCCCCATAAGAGTTTGAGATGTCTTTCATTAAAGTACTTCCACGTATCATCATCGCATTTAAGATGGGGGCACACCCCTTTAAATCACTAATAAACTTCTCTTGCGTCTCAGGACTTGTTATAGACTTCTCTGGACTCTCAGCATCTTCTGGCTTGACTTGGATATAGACGTCCCGCAATGCTGAATACCGATCACTAAAGTCAACATAAGCCGTGTTGAAATCTTTGTTCTTCTGAAGAATTTCCTTCTTCTTATTGAACTTGTCCAGCGTCTTATCTTTAAAGAAATATAATGAGAAGGAACGATATAAATCCTGTTTCCGAGTACACCAGGATTGAATGTAGTCAAGGTTTAAATAGAAGTATACATAGTAATCAATCGCCTTCCGAAATCGAATAAATAACTCGTCTTTCGGGTTGTCTATAAACGCTTTCGTATCATCTGCGAGGGCTAACCCTTCTTGTTTCTTCGTGCGCATTGCGTCAGTCATAACGAATCTCAATTTCAAGTTCTGTGTCAGTCAAACTACTTTTTTTTTATTAGTATCATATTATAATTTTATTATAAATTATAGTACTTTTTTAAAATTTCTAGAAATTGTTTTTTTTATGAAATTTAGAAAATTTTTTAAGAATTAAAATTTTTTGTTGTTTTTTTAAAGAAATCATTTAGAGAAAAATTCAAAAATTGAAAAGATAAATGTGTCTTTTTGCTGTTTAATAATTAAATAATGTTTATTATTAAAAAGCTATCAATTAATTATTATAAAACAGAATTATTTTTAATAAAAGTCTAAATAATTATATTATTCATATTAGTTTTAAACTATATTAATTAATTCATTTTGTTTTTGTCTTTTTTATTAAAAAAAAAAAACTTGAATTTTATTAAATTCAAGTTTTTAATAATCGAAAATTTCAAAGTTTATGACATATTTATTACCTGTTTTAAAATATTCATTATGTGTAATAATAATAAGGAAAAAACACTAAAAATTAACAAAAAATTATTTATTATTTGTATAATAAATCAATATAAAAAATTTAGTGTTTTTTATATCTAAGTGATAATTCCAAAGAAGTCGAATAAAAGAAGATAAACTGTTTCATATCAAAAACTCGAAAATGGTGTCACAAACTCGAAATGTGAAATGAAAACAGATTCACCGACATATCATCCCTATCACTCCCCCACACAACCCACACTCAGATGTTATCCGAATCAAGCCGTTTCAGATCGGTGTCCTCTTTTTGTTGATCGAAAAACAGACGATTTATTAACTCGTTTTCGAGCCGCTTTTAAGTACTTTTTTACTTTTAGTACGACTTTAGAGTCATTGAAACATGATGCCATGGAGTATCAAACCTCTTTTTCTCGCATATTCCCTTTTTGACATCAAACCGACTGATTCGAAGTATATTGAACTCCACGATTTATTATCACAAGGAGAAGCCCCATGAGGCGTACCACACTTTTGTCTCAAGCAGTGTTTGGTTGGTTGATGGGAGTTTAAGTTTAGAGAGCATTGAGCGACCCCGAAGATGCTTGGAGTACACCCAGACGACCAAATAGCCCTTTTTAGAGGATGTTGTCCCACAAACAGACTTAATGAATCGACTCCTCAACAGAGCAAAATTGTACTACAAAAAGATCACAACGAGTCTTGGAGAGTCTCAAGAGTGTAAAGTGTACAAGAAACTGACGTATTTCACTGAGAAGATACTCTATAAAGAGCTACGTGATATGTACAATATAAGACCAGTTCTAGACGAATGCGCTGTGGTGGAGAAACAACGACAAAAATATAAAAAGCTCTGGGGGAGGCTTGTGAAGAACATGAATCAAATCGATTTGTATTTGAGAAGGTACTTGGAGACTTATAATGAGGTCGCAGGACGACTGAAAAAGTTTCAATTCGATGAAATTCAAAACAATCTTCTTAACATTCAGAGATTAAATCACGAGCTGAGGTTCAATGATGCATTTTCAAATTTGGGGTTTGACCACTTGTCTTGTATTTGCGAAGATATGAACCCTCGAGACCTCGATGTTGGGATCCAACTTTTGCGGGTTCGCTTGAGCCTGGCGAGCGAGACTATAAAGGCGATCTCTTCTGCATTTCCCTTGGTCTTCATTTCTAAATGTTTTAAAAATTTGGAGACAGCGGAGGTGGTGCAAAAAGCAGAGTACATACTTAGTGATTTGTATAAGCTTGGGGAGGAGTACGACGCAATTAAAAGGAAGTCGCGACATCCCGAATTTGATGACAAGCGGATCAAAAGAAATTTCAATGACGTTCAGCGGTGTCAGTGTATTTCCACATCGATTGGTCTTCTTCTTTTAAATATCAAAAGGTACAACCAGAAGTTTCTGAGTGACATTGCTCTGATCTTTTTATTTCTTTATTCCACTAAAGTGAGACCCTCCGCGAAGTATTTTGTGCGTGAAGTCGCCAGTTTTAATAAAGAAGAAGCCGAGAAACGGAATTTGAAATATGTTGGGGAAAAAGGCGCTGTTGGATTTTGGTATTTATTCCAAGAAAGGATGGAAGAAGAGTTTCTTTATATTTTAAAGAAGTTTTTAATAAAAATGGACTGCAAAAAAGACGAAGAAAAGAACTCAGAAAATAGAAAAATAGAAAATTTTGAACTTTCTGATTCGCTCACCGATTTTTTTAAAAACTTTTTAAAAAACTTTTCGAGTGTGAAAGACGAGGAGGAAATCGTTTTTAAAAACGAAAAGGTGTTCTTTGAAATCGATAACAATTACTTCACAAAAGAGGACGAAATGGGGTATTGGGAAATATTAAAGAAAGTCGACTTTGAGAAGGAAGCCAAGATGAGTAAAGAGGAGACAGAAGCTTATAACAAACTGACAAGAACTAAAAGCGAAAAACTCGATAAAGCCGGTCAAAGACCAGAACTTAATATGACGTGGAACTATAATTTCGATAAGATGACTTACTTCAATGAATACGTCAATGGACTGCAAGATGAAGAAAATGTGGAATATTCAGAAATATCACAGATGGGAGGAGAGTGTGTGCAATGTGAAGAAAAAGATTTTGGGGCTCAAGAATTTGCGGGAATAGAGCAAAAAAGTGCGAAAGAAAAAGAGGAGGAAATGACACTACACTCGACATCTACTGATAACTTGCAGCCTAAAATTGAACATTCACAAACAAGACAGAGTGATATACAGCAGAGTGAATATATTCAAATTACTACAAGTAGCGACATTGCAAAGAAATTGACATCGAAAAGTGACATGACAAAATTTAGCGATGAATGGGATGAACTGTTCCAATACCAACCACGAACTTCTCAGTTAAAAACACTTTACTTTGTACCAACCATCTCACCAAGACTACTCAAAGTGTTAAGAGGAGAGATTCCAAGTGTTATTTCACAGTCGGATATATCAAATGACGTATCAGTTGATAATAAATCGAATGAACAAATGTCGAAGAAACAAAGCGAAAGTGAAGTGATGCAAGCGAACAAAATTGAACAGCAAATGACTTTAACAAAGACGGGAAATCAAAAAAGGAAAAAGAAGAAGAAGAAGACGTTGATGTCTATAAAAAGCATTTAATCGAAATAGAAAAACAAAAGGCGGAGAAGTTGGCGGAACAAAAGGCACTGCTGTCAAAAAGCACATTCATCTCGAAAGAAGATGTAAGGAAAATGCCAAATGTGTATGTGCCACAAACACCTATTAAACCGAAAAACACAATAAACACGGTAAAACCTCATTTCAAAAATTATGTACCTAAATTTGTGCGGTCGAGAAGTGACGTAAAGGATTATGAAAATTTATAATTAAATTTAGAACAAATGTTTTTGTTTATTATTATTTACACAACAAATTTATTAACATGGTTAAATGTCTAAATATATTAATGACAAATATATAATAACGTGAATACAAATGTATTGTTAAACAAAGTTTCCATTTAAATAATGATTGTTAATGATATTGTATTTTCAAATAATAATTGTTGTTTTGTGTAATTTGTTTGACATTTTGGTGAAACAAATAAAAAACGAATATAAACAATTGTTATTAATTCCATAATGTAACTACTTCAATGTTTGATAAGAAGAGTATCAAACTTCGCAGTACTTCCAAATTCCGATTTGTGGTTCATGCGTTCATGCACAAAAGATATGATAATTAATTATCTTATTGTTCAAGTATTTAAAAACTTTTAACAAATTTGTTGTAATTTATTGTATATGATATTAAATTTATAAAAAAAACGTATTACAAACGCCATTAATATATTATTGTTTTTTGTTATTA